TTGAATAAAGCACTTTTGATGTTTCTCTTGAAATTATCGTGTTTTCTTTGATTACAAAATCTGCACTATTAACTGGTACACTTGGTAAAAGATTTCCAAACTTTCCCAAGTGTTTTCACATATATTATCCCTGCCAGGGTTCACAAGTCTGAGGTAGATCCAGGTGGCAGAATGCTCCCAACTTTAGAAGAAAATGATTTAGAGAATTTATCTGACTTGCTCCAATCACCTCAACAAAGATCTAAGATTTAGATCCAGTTTTCTGCACCCCCCATCTAATACTTTCCCACAACTGCCTCGTGCGACCGAGGCTTTTCAGACTCCATTAGATACAGAGAACAGATGGATAGCTGTCAGAGGGGAGGGGGTTCGGGGCTTAAGTGGAAAGGGGAAGGGATTAAGCAAAAACAAACAAACATCAAAAAACAACTCACAGACACAGACAATAAATAGTACGTGCTTTTATCATAGGGAAAGGGGAGGTGGAGGGAGGTAGCAGAAGGTCTAGTGGGGATAAATGGTGATGGAAGGAGACTTGACTTGGGGTGGTGAACATACTACAATATACAGATGATGTATTATAGAATTGCATACCTGAAACCTGTAAATTTTATTAACTGATGTCACCCCAATAAATTAAATTTAAAAAACTTAAAAGGTACTTATTGGTTATGTTTTGTGGTTTGAAGAACTTTTAGAATAACAGATAGCTGCATTAAGGAGAAATGAGCATTATTTACTCCTTGAGATTCCCACAATGGCCTGCACAGTCTGTGCTCCCTTCAATTTAGAATTTCCATCTACCTTAAAGATACATAAAAACAAAAGTTAGCAATCTCGAGTGTTTGCTTTGAAGCAATAAAAAAGCAACTAAAAACACACAAATTAAAAACCTCTTCTCAAAAGTAGCAAAAAGTTACCAAAAGAAAAAAAAATTATGTAGAATCTACAAATGTGGCCCTGTCCACAGGTTTACATTCCCGGGTGGCCTGTGAGACTGAGTCTGCCACTGTTCACCCATGATGCCTGAGCCACTTAAACAGCAGAGTCTCTTTATATTCTCCTCCTATGGATTTCATAATTTCTACTTTTATTTACCAAACTACATAGGTTAAATAATTTGCAACCGCAGCTTTGTAGTATCATGAGATTTAGAATATTACCAAACTTCCTTGAGAAAAGCAAAGGCATTTAGGTAGCCCAATATACCACAGCCCTATCAAGGGTAAAGATAAATGGTTCTTCAAAATTAAGGACACTGAGTTTCAGACACCCACAGTCTCTTTCCGGATTCCAGGAGCACTGAAGTACCCCAGGCTCAGAACCACTGGTCTCTGCAAAGTAGGCAGCCATGTTCAATGGACAGTAACAAAAAGTAAGTCCTTACCACAAAAGCTGCTATAAAGACACTGCCTAAGATGATGAAAGCAAAAGAGAGTCTGGAGCCAGCAGCCTTTATGAGGCAGATGATGCTAAGGATCAGCCTAGACACAGATTGAAAGCATCATAACCCCAGGGTCCCCAGAAATGGTCTAGAGTCGTGGACATGTGGCTTGCGAGCCATGGTTTGCCAAGCCGCAGTTTGCTGACCACTGGTAGAGAAACCAATTTCCATCTGCATCATGTAAAGAAGGGGCAACTGACACAACAGCATTGTGCTCATAACATTTTTCAGGAAGATGCCTATTTCACAAATTAAACACCTACTGGCTGTCATCGATTATGCGACGCCTTCTCTCCCTTCACAGCTCTTTGAAAAGCTGAGTCAATGCTGCCGCCCAAATCACAGAAAGGGAAAAGTAAACCACCCTTTTTTCCTGGCCGCACATGCCCACATTTTCATTTCAATAACTTCCCTTCAATGTTCTATACTCATCAACCCTACTAATAATATAATCATGACCAGACCCAACTTCCTCAGTATAAATTCAAAAACTAGAATTCAGGATTGAAAGAAAAAAAAAACTACTTCAAAATACTTAGGCAGCTAAGCTCATAATCTTGCAGGTTGGTATCAGATAGTAACTCAACACTTGCTGCTACTTAGCTGACCACTAACATTAAGCCCTCTCAGGTGTCTACTGTCCTTTCGAACATGAAAACAGCTTCTAAGGCCATTGTTTCAGGGGACAGAGCCTGTTGTGCAACTAAGAAACTTCACCTACGTTCTTAGCTGGGTGAATATAATTTTTTAATAACACTCTCCTGTTTCAATAGCACCTGCCAGATATACACCTTTACTTAAAATCTCATATTAGCACTCAGCTACATCCGATGCTACAGAAAGAAAGCCATCCCCCCACCCTGACCCGGCTGATGTAGCAGTCTGCATTTACTGCTCAGATCTTGTGCCTATGACCGTGTTATGCATTTAGCAGCATTATTTTGTTTAATTCTTATAATCACCCCCATGAAGTTGGCACTATTATCATCTTCCCATTTTACTTTAAATAAGGCATCTGAGGCACAGAGAGTATAGGCAGAAGACCAGGGCCCTCTTCCACCCATCAACTATGCATTTTCTCAACATGAACACAGACATGCATATAATCTATGGTATTCTGAATGATGCCACGGAAACCATGTTGTCCATATGGACGGGTGAATTCATAGGATAAGGAGATCTTGCCCATAGTTAAAAGTTCACTTTAGAGGTAGGAAGCCTCCCCTCCCCCAACAAACCTTCCCTGTTTAGGTAAATTAGTGAAAACAGAATATTCTTTAGTTAGGATGCAAAATCTTCATGTATTTCCGGAGCTTTTAAATTATAGAAGAAAGGGGAAGGGGAATAGGGGAAGACATCTTCTGGGCTTTTTTGTTTCAAAAGTAGGGATGAGATACTCAGCCGTGGCCTCGTAAAATAATGGAACAGGAGGACTGAGGAAGAAGGGAGAACCCCTGTCAGAGCGTCCTGCAGTCCTGTGAAGGAGAAGGTGTGTGTTTAAGATGCAGGAAGCCAGGGGCAGGGATCCTAGGATGGTCCTGCTGGGGTGGGAAGCCAAAGGCTAGGACCCTACCTTAAGCAGAGATGTCACAGAGAGTGACAACAAAGAGCAGCGATGGCAAATGGAAGACATTTCCCAAAAAGTGGAATTGGATGTCCTGGGAACATCCAATGCAAGCTAGCGGGCATCCTCCCCTCCGCATGCTGCACTCCTTCTAGTAGGTCTACTTCCAAAGTATCAGTCGCCTCCCTCTTCTACCTAAACCCAGCCCGGCTCTGAGCCAATCAGGCCCTTTCCACTCAAGTCCACTGCCCTATTTCCTAGAGCCCACGTGTGAGGTTCCCGGGGATACTCCCGATGGCTAAAGACAGCTATGTCACCGCTCCTGTCCACAACATTGTTTTCTGTCTTCCTGCTTCCTCTGAGGCTCTGGTGTCCTGACAGACATGGAAGCGAAAAGAGCTCACTCAGCAAATACCACATCGAGTGATCAGAAGGAAGGTCCCAAAGAGAACAGTGGGACCCAAACTCAAGTCTCAGGGATGCTACTACAGAGAGCACAGTACCAAGTACCAATCGAGAAAAGTACAGTGTATAATGACTGCTGTAAACTGGGGTTTATTTAAATCACTAGAAACAGCAGTTTCTTGTTATCTCACTATAAGTACTCATTACCAAATATTAGTGATAACTCATTTCCTCAAATTTTACTTGGGAGCTATTTCAGTTTTACTCAAAAAAACATTGTATAATTCCCCCTCCCTGCCTCAAAACAATGAAACGTTAACAGTAAATGGTTTATAGTAAAGTTTAACAATCTTCTCTCATTATCTCCTTCTGAGAAATATACCCTTAAAGTTATGCAAAACACATTTTAGAGCAGGAACTCCTTCCAAACTAGGAATAATTTTTCTCCCCAAGGGGACACTTGTCAAAAACTGGGAACATTTTTGGTTGGCACAAGTGGGGAAGGGGTGCTACTGACATTTGTGGGGGAAGGCAAGGGAGGTCTCCAGTACAACATAATGTGTAGGTCAGAACCCACAAAAGAAAGAAAGAAATGATAGATGCTTCATAATATAAAACAGCCTACTAATCTTTTATAGATCTATCCTTTTTAATAGGCACGAATAAAGAAAGCACACACTGGATCTTAAAACTACAGAATTACTTATACCATAGGGAGAGGAGAAACAGTTCCAAGTAGACATTTAGTGTCAATTACGCCTGATGCTATGCTCAAAGTGTTTAGTTCAAGAAACTGTAATGGCAAATAAGCTCTGTAGTTCAGCATAAGGGGCAGGAAAAATCAGATGTGAATCCAACAAAAACCACTCCTAACTAAAATAGGACACTATTTTATCTTCTGGCACTCCACCAATTGAGAAGTTCATGCTGAAATAGCTTACTGATAAACATCAACTCCAATCTTTTTTAAAACAGTTTTTTAAAATTCTCTGTGAAACAAGTCCCTTGATGCAAATTGTAATCCAGCTAAGCCCAGGCCTCCATCTCAGTTATCCCCTCAAACTATGTAAAGAATCCCCATCACTAAACATTCTCTTTTATTGTCTGGGGGGGATGAAGGAAGTTAAATGTTAAGATTTATGACTCAGACTCCCCCACAGTGATAAAACACCTCCAACGGTAGCAAAGAAAAGCCCCTAAGAATTTATTGCAAAAATGATAATCTAATACAAAGAATCTTAACAAAAGGATGTCTTCTTTTACATTAAGCAAAGTTGTTTTACAATGTCCCACGTTGCTTTAGGATCAAGTCCCACTGGCAGCGTTTTTACTGCTCTGTCCCTCTTCCTTCCTTCTTCAAAGCCAGCCACACACCCAAACGCAGTCCCAGGAGTCCAGTTCTGTACCTTGTTGCAAAGTCCTCATCAGGCGCGTTCACAATCACCGGGTGAGTGTGGGTGCGGTCCGCACACTCTGACCTCAGAGTCCCCTCTGGAGGAAACCCCACAGCTCACGGGCGGGGGCATCCAACCTGATCTTTTTAGGAATCCTCTCGGGGAATACCAGAAGTGGACGACCCCGTTCCATATGAAGATCCCGTTTATGCAAACTCAGGGGGAAAAGGGGATCTTTCAACATCCTCCCGCGTAGCTGGGCCCCCTGCCACGTAGAATGTAGACTTTGATTTCTGGGGCCTCCGTGACCTTTCTGTGCTGCAGACCAGAAGTTTCTCTGTTGAAGTCATTTGACAACAGCACGTTTAAGACATAAAACAACAACCTGTCATGTCTTGGATCACCCAAGTGGGCGCTCCCAGGAGTACACACACCGGCACGCAAACTCAGAGGGCGCAGAAGCGGCGGCTGACCCTGTGTGTGCAGAGACAGGTGTGCACACAGAGACGTGCAGGCGCGGAGACCTCTCCCAAGTGTGCAGAACTGGGTGGGCAGGCTCAGGAGCACACGCACAGCCTCGTACCGCAACCCGGCCGCGCTGCGAACCACAGGTCCCAGCAGGAAACCTCCAAACCCCGGTCCGCGGCGCGTTTCACCAACTCACCTCCTCCAAAAATTTGGTCACATCATACACCTTGTGGTGCAGGATCAGCCAGGTGCTCTTGCTGTGGTTGTGCTTCTGGATCTCCTCCAGGGTGTAGTACTTGACGGCCTGGTCCGACGGCTCGGCCATTTCGGAACACCGCGAGCTTCAGGGCCAGCAGACAGCAGCCACACCGGGCGGAGCAAAGCGCGTCTCTCCGAGCCAGTGCCGGGACATTCCCCCCGGGTCCCGGAGGGCGCCGGGGGCGGGCAAGCGGCACCTCCCAGATGGCGGCTTACTGACGGCCTCCGATGATTGGCCAGAATCCGTGTCTCTCAAGGGGCCACCTTCGACTGACACCCTCCACCCAGCGC